CTGATGCTCCACTACACCCCCCCACCCGGGTTTAGGGACCCCCAGGAGACACCCCCCGCCCAGGCCCTTGGGCGTTGCTGAGCTGGAGCAGGCAGCTTTTGCGTCGCTCCGAACCCACCATCGCGGTGTCCCTGACGCTCCCTCTGCGGCTCAGGGCCGAATTCTCCGCCTGGAACGGGCTGGGTGTTTCGCAGCGAGGTGACGCACCAAAGAGAGCTTCCCCTCCCTGCAGAGCGGCACCTGCCTGGTGCCGTCCAAGCTCCCCGGGCATCGTGAACAGCTTCCTCTAGCAGCTAAAACACTGCTCTGTGGTGCAGCGCCAGGACTTGGCCCTTAAGCTCAGCCCCAAATGCCTAACCTTCCCCTATAGCAGCTAACAGCTCTGCATATAGTACGGAAGCGCTGCAGTTTGCCCTGTGTTCTGCACCCGGGGAGGGTTTTGGGGGTGTCTTGAGTGTAACAATTCTCTGCTCCTCTCTGCCGTAGAGGTCGGGACGGTTTGCAGCCATGGAAGCCTTCAAGTCTCAGAATAACCTGAAGAACAAGGAGAAACCTGGTAAGTCGCGTTCAGATGCGAGCTCTGCCTGTCGCCAGGTAGGTTTTGCTGATCTTCTCGAGCGTTTTCTTGGGCCCCGTGCTTCGCTGCGGCGGTGGCCAGGGGGGTTAAACTGGCCAGCGCTGAGCCGGTTCTATGGGTGTTTGCTCCTGTCTACCCCCCAGACTAACAAACAAGCTGGATCTGAGATCAGGCTTGAAAATCAAACATCGCGCAACACTTCAGGAAGATTTGATCTGGGTGAGGCCACCTAGCGAGGGCGGTGAGGCGATGTCTTGGCAGGGTCTGCATTTGACTTCCCTTCCGTGAGCTGTCGAGGTGGGGAAGGAAGTTTTGAAAGGAGCTTTTCTAAAAATCGGGAATCATTCTGCACAGGGCAAAGTGAGCATGGTGTGGTTACAGATGTGATTTGTAATAAGAGCATCAGCTCCTAGCTACAGGGTGTGAAGGTGCTGCTGCTTGCTATTTCTTCTGCTTGTGTGGGCATTTATGGGGTTGGTTTTATTTTTTTCCCTTTTTTTTAAGACGTAGGGGCAGCTTCTGTCACTATTCCAGCCTCTCCCTTTATGCAAAAGCTTGGATACGGCACTGGGGTGAACGTCTACTTGATGAAAAGGTAAGCGTGAGAGCACAAACATGATGTGATGCTCAGGAACAGGACTTACACTACTCCAGGAGGAAAAGATGTCATGGGTTGGAAAGCGATTCAGTTCTGAGTTTTTAAAAAAAAAAAAAAAAAAAAGAAGAAGAAGCCACTGGCTCAACTGACCTGCAGGCTGCAATTGGGCACAGAGTCGAGGAAGGGGCGCAGGGTTCCCAGTTCGCCTGTTCACGTACACCAAAGCAGGGCTGGAGGTGTCAGTGCTGGAAAAGGGCTCATCATTTTAGAGCTGCTTTGGCGATAACCCCCGTCAGTGTTTCCCTGGACTGGAATTCAGGTGTTTGGGGACAGTTCCTGGCTCTGCTTTAGCCTGTCGAGCAAGCTGCTTCCTTCTGTGCCTCAGGTTCTCCACTGAAAAAGGATGCAAATCTCCTTTTCCTAAAGCATTTGAAAGTGTTCACTTTGCTGAAGTACTGTATTATATATATAATTATATATAATGCAATGCATTACTATGCACCTATACAGTCTGTATACATTGGCAGAATATAGTTTCTCTAATCTTAGGAGGTTGTTGGGGTTTTTTTTTTTTGACTCCACGAATCATGCACCCCACACTCTGAAAGACAGATACTCTCAGCCCTTGGGGAACAGTTTCTTCAGTGACCTTTGAAAGCTTTAACTCTGACACTTGCAAACGGAGCAGTTCAGCGCTCCCTGATCGAGATGTGGGGGATTTTCCCATGCAGATCTCCCAAAGGTTCATCTCATTCCCCGTGGGCTGTGAAGAAAATTAATCCCAAATGCAATAAGACCCAGCAAAACATCTATCAGAAGAGACTGCATGAAGAAGCCAAGATCTTGAAAAACCTCCAGCACCCAAACATTGTGGGTAAGTTTCCAACACAGCACATGTCACGTAAATAGCAAATAAAGCGGTTGGAGCTGGCTCTGGAGCCAGCTGGTGTGACACGAGCGTGCGCAGGGGACCGTCGCTGCGTGCTTGCCCTGTTCTTACGCTTTGGAGCCGGGCTGCTGGGCTGCGTGCACCTTCGTCACACCCAGCGCAGCTTATTAAACTAAGCTGGCTGCCCAACTACTTAAGTAACCAACTTACCTTTGTTACAGGTTGTGAGTGTCTAGTGTGAAAGTCTAGGCTCTGACTGCCAAGCTCTCGGCTCTCAGTAGTAGAAATAGCTTGAGATGCTGCTCTAGTCCGTGTTTTAATTGCTGCTGTAATCTATAAAACCTCTCCTGCCAGTCAGAACAGCAACTCTCTGACTTCCTCTTTGTTTGCACTTTAAAATATCTCAGTGCTGTCACTTTTACTAGAAATGCTGTGTACTCCCAGGGAACTTTGTTTATGCTCTTAAAACAGAGTGTCAGGAATTTAATAGCAAAGAGAGTTTTGACCTCTCACATAGCAAACATTTTTTTTCATTGCCTTTTGTAAAATATGCTGTAGATCATTTACAGGATAAGGCTTTTGCTGTACTGTTATGCAAGACTTTCCCATTTATACCTCCACCTGAAAAGCAGTGTTTAAGGGCAGGAATAAAACATGGAGGAAAAATGATTAAATGACAGTCCATGTGCACATCACTCTTACCTTGTGAAACTGTGCCTGTACGATAAGAGGCTTAGCTCTCCCAAATATCCCCCAGGCCTTTGTCTCACTTATCTGGCTCCTTATCTCTTTTACTGGAAAAGCTAGTCCTAGGGATCTTCTGCCCCTTAAAGAGCAGGTCAGCCCCTCTGCTGCCCTTCCGCACTCCTCCCTCTTTTGTCCTGGTTCTCTGTCCTGAGCAGGTCGGGGTAAACCTGCCTGGGCCTCCCTTCCTCTGTCACGGGGTACAAAGCTGACCTGGAAAGCAAAAAAGGGGTGTCTGTGGGAGCTCCTGGCGGAGGGAGCTCCCTTGCTGTGGGAGGGCTTATCTCCACAAGGTCTGTGGCTTGTGTCCCTGCTGCCGGGGCGCGGGGCTCCATCGACGTTCCTATGGCTTCACCTGTCCGGGGAGCTGCCGCGTAAAACTGGCCAGAGTCATGCCACCATCCAGATTCCCTGTGATGTGAATTTTGTTCTCTTATTTATTTGGGGTTGCCAGCTGCAGCTGCCTGGAGAGCACCTGGGTAACAGCCCCAAACGGTTTGGCTCAAGAGATGTTAAAGTCGCATAGCGTTTCTGGGCTCTGCGCTGCTCAGGCCTGAGGGTGCCTTGGGCTTGCTGAGCCATCAGCCACGGTCTCAAAATTCCCACCGAGTGACTGCAGCGCCTTCTGTGATGGGTTTTAGTGTTTCCTCGTTTGCAGATTGCCATAATTAACAACGCCTTGTGAAGCGGTGAGACTCCTTTGTCAAATCGGGCGTGAAAGCTGATGCCTGCGCCAGCTCTCTAACAAATACAGTCTTTGTCCGAAGGTTACCGTGCATTTACCGAGGCCCATGATGGAAGCATGTGTCTTGCCATGGAGTACGGAGGAGAAAAATCTCTCAATGACTTAATTGAAGAAAGAAATTCAGAACATTTGGGCCCTTTCCCTGCTGCTACAATTTTCAAAGTTGCCTTGAGCATGGCAAGGGGGCTGAAGGTATGTTTAATATAACCTTAGCTGTTCATTCTGGAATCGTATACACTGGTGACACTGGAAAAATAAATGAATTCCGTGTGTGAGAAGGCCGGGCATGGCACTCGTGTCAGCAGATGGAGAGCAGATGCTGCAATGCCTCGGTGGCTTTTCAAAAATTGACTTGGTCAGGTGGACCAGGGCTGCCTGGTAGTTGTACAAGCTAAGGTGAAAACCAGCCAATCTGAGCCCCAAAGCTAATGACCGAAGTAATATAAAAATTGATGAGACAGAGTTGTCACTAATGTCGTGCTGACTTACTGCTGCCCTCCCCTAGGGCTGCCTGCTGGCTCGCCCAGGAGGAGGTGGGCTGCCAGATCCCTGTTGGAAGAAGTCTGGCAGCACCACAGGTCGTGGGTGGTCGGAGAGTCTGGCCAGGAGAGCTGAGGAGGGAATAGAGAGAAGGCAGTGACATGTGTTAGCCTTTTGCTTCCCTCCTTGGATAAGCAGGGAGAGACTGAGAGGCAGGAGAGGCTCCTTCCAGCTACCGAAGAGCAAAAGCAGGGAGCTGGAGTGGCTCTAAGGAGAGAGCGAGAGGAGAGAAGCTTCCTCATCTCAGCTCCTTACGGTGCTGTGAGATACAGGACTGGGACACTGTGGAAAGCTAGTAGAGGCCACCACGCACCCTGACCAAACTCCATCTTTATTTCTGTGCCAGGCAGTCAGTCGCAGGAACCCGGTCTTGGCAGTGAAAATGGTTAGACGATGCCTGCGGCTGCCGGCTGGTGCCGCTTGTGTGCCTCCTCTCTCACTGACCTGCAGCAGCCGCCGCGTAGGATGTTTTTGTCGTGACCTGCCTCGTTACTGTAGGGATAAAGGGGAAAATGGTGACTTTCGCTGCTGTAAGCAGCAATACTTGGTCTAAATCACAGCACAGCCTAGAGCCCTACTGCTAGCCCTCTCCCAGGCTATGCTAGCAGTCAAAGCAAAGCACAGGTTTCCTGAGCCGTGGCAGTGAGTTTATTGCCGCCGAGGAGAGGCGGCTCCGAGCCCTTGTGATAAAAACTGATGTGTGCTTGACTGTTGGCTGATGCCCTCTCTTCCTATTCCCTCTCAAATATTTGCTGCTGTACTAGAGCTGGTATGAGGCACTTCAGGCAGCCTTTTACTAAAAGGTAGCCGTAAGCGTTGAAAACTGGGCTGACTGGAGCAACCTGTCCGTGTAGGTTGAAGCTCTGTTGTTAATAATAGTAATGTAAAATGCTTGGGGGGGAAGTGTCAGCTGCTATAAACCTCCCAAGCTCCCCAGATTTGCTTGCTTGTCTTGGACGTTTCTGTGGCTGTTAGGTATTGTTTTGTACATGTTACAGTTAAACGTAAACCTTGAGGTTTTAAGGCTGAGTATGTTAAATATTAAGAAGTTGATGCTTGGCTGTCTACATCTGATGTTTCCTCCTGCCGCTTTGTAGCTCAGTCTGTAAGCAGATGTTAACTGCCTCTCTCTGCCTCTTAGTATCTTCACAATGATAAGAAACTGCTCCACGGAGATATCAAGTCTTCAAATGTGGTGGTTAAAGGTGACTTCGAAGCCATAAAGATCTGTGATGTGGGAGTGTCCCTGCCCCTGGATGAAAACATGACTGGTAGGTTGGACTGTGAGGAAGGGACCTGAGGGTTTAGTGGTTTTCAGCATTTGGCTCCGGGAGCGGAGAACATCTGAACGCTGATGTTCCTGATGCCTTGGAGGAAAGGACCGGCCAGCGGTCTCGTTTGTGCTGTTTTCACTGCGTGTGGGTGAAGGGGCTCTTTGGAACAAGGCCCCTTGGTCCAGCTCCGATTCCCCACACTGGTGGTGTCTGTCTCAAGAGCGGGGACTGGCGCCGGCGTGCCAGGATGCGGTTACCTTCTGAGCCTGAGGGCATCCGGCTGCGCTCGTTCTTCCTGCCTCACTGCCTCTAGCAGGGAGGCAGGACCATCTCCAGCGCAAAGGGCTGTCCATCAGCTCAGCCCTGCGCTCCTCCGCGCTCACGCTTTCCCTCCCGTCGGCAGGAGTGCCATTGCACAAGGAACGCTGGATCAGGCCCTGCTGGCCGCTGTTGAGCAGATGCTCTTGCCAGAGAGTTAAGTAAATGAATCTTTCTCACAGTGTTGGAAGGAAGCATGAGCCAAATGCAAACATTATAAAGACTTCATGTAAATGAGAAGCAGATGTCTAATGGCGTCGTGGCTTGGCTGTGAACACCAGGAATGTGTTTGGGGTAATTACAAGAACTCTCTTTTATGCTGCTTTCCACAGTGCTTGGGCCTGCAACAGCCTCATAATTTATAAAGCTGCTCTATTACATTTTTATTAGTAGCTGTTCCCTTTTATAAGGAGCGAGAGAGCTAGAGGCAACGCCCCAGAGTAATCTCTCAAAGAGGAGTGTGGTTAAAGCATCAATTTCTGGGCTGATGAAACAGGAAGAAGTCCTCTCACTTCAGCCTGATTTTTGGCGTTGCCCCCTCAAGGTCTTAAGGAGACAACATCCACCCAACCACGGAAAGGATACTAGGTCCTGATCCGTATGAAGCGTTCAGGGATTTCAGCATTCGCTTCTCCTTACAGGCGGGGTTTTTGAAGATCAGCACTGCAGGAAAGTAGTTTCTTGAACTGCTGAGATTACTGAAAGCTCAGTAATTTGTTAAGGAAAGTGAGGGGGAAATGTCCTTATGTTCCGGAGAGTCTGTCTGAAACTGTGTGCTGCCTTGGCAGGGGGCTGAGGGGGCCAGAATGGGGACAGATACAAGGAACGGAGTCACACCTGGTGCTTCCTTCATCAGGCTGGCAACAGATTGTTTGGACTCTCCCAAGGCGAGTCCTCCTTGGACTCTCCCAAGGCTCGTGGAGATGTTAAATTAAACAAAGTAGCAAGAATTTGATTTGTGCTGGAGTAAAGAAAATGAAATGACGGTGGGGCCAGCAGGAGGTACTGTGGTAGAAGGGATCGATGGAGCCTGGTCAGCCTCGGAGGACCAGGTTGGCTTTGTCCTTTGGCACCGGCTGAGCGAGCAGGTCTGGGAAGGGAAGGGAAGGGTGACCTGCAAGTGCTTCTCACCCTGATCTTGCATCCCCAGAGGTGCAAAGCTGAGAAGTGGAAATGGCTGTGTAAAACTCAGGTAGTCTCTCATCTCTTCATTGGAGGGTTCCTTATAGTAGGGGTTAAGCCACAGAGCACATCCGCTCTGGCCTCTCGCTTCAGCCGTTTGCTGCGCGTTCGGCGACATTCGCCTCAGAGGCGCTCTGACGTGCAAGTCTCTGCGCTCCCTAACGTGTGTTGCGGGGACCGTGTTCAGCAGCTCCTGCGGAGGAGAAGTGTGAGCTCTGCTGTGTCTGGCACTGCTGCTGAGCAGAGCATGTCGCCGGTTACAGGGAATTTGAGACTACGTGGATCCGTAAGAACAAACAGGCTCAGTCGCAAAGAGAGAGTGCCCTTTGGCCTGAGTATGCCTGGAGCGTCTTGACCAGCTGGTGTGGTCAGCTGTGAGCACATCTTGCCATGTTTGCGAGTCCCAGCACATAACTAAGTAATCTTGTTTCCTTCCAGTGAGCGACCCGGAGGCATGCTACATCGGCACCGAGCCCTGGAAGCCCAAGGAAGCTCTGCAAGAGGACGGCGTCATCACCGATAAGGCCGACATCTTTGCTTTTGGGCTGACTCTCTGGGAAATGATGACCCTCTCTGTGCCCCATCTCAACCTGGGAGGTGACAGTGATGATGAAGGTTTGTCTGTCTTTCTTGCTGCCTGGTTGTGAGTTGCTGGGCAGCTTCTGCTTCTAGAAGCACTTTATTCTCCTGGAGGATTTTTTAATTTTTTTTTACAGTTCACGTTAGTACCACCAAAATAGTCAGTCTTTCATGTTTGCAAGCCCTCAGGCTGGCAACCATCACCTCTGTCCGTTCAGCCAAAAACCCAACAAAGCCAGGCGTCTGAATCCACTTGTGTTGTTCACTTCAGGGGTTCTTTGAGGAAAAGGGAGAAGCGGTAGTGAGCGCTGGGGAACAGCCCTGCCTTTTCCTGCCCGTTGACTGCAGCCCTGTGCTCCACCTTCAACCGCAGTGCAGCTGCTGCCTTTCCCAGCCCTGCCTCGCTTCCCCGGGCGTTCGCTGCGGCACAGAAGTGCTGAGCGCTGCCCCGAGGACTTTCGGCAGACCGTGTGCCTGCCAGCTTCGTTCAAGTGTTTTTGCAGGTGGCTGGGCTGCTTTCAAGTTTGTTTGGCTTTTTAACCCCAAAGGGCGAGTTGATAAATGATCATAACTAATCATAGCGCAAGCCAGCGTTCTTTGTAGGCGCTCCAGCTGCTCGTCAAACAGTTGGAGAGAACTTGAAATTCGGCTGCTCGTCCAATTCCCATCAGCACAGTTCCTAGCTCTGTCAGTACGCTTGAAAGATGTCCCCAAGCCACACTACTGTTCCTCTGAGATGCAAGCAGCAGGCTCGGGCCAGGCTCCAGGCCTCTGTCCTGCATGCTCCCCTGCTGCCATCAGGGCAGCATAGCAGTATCTGCATGCTGCAGCAGTGTGATGGATGCTGTCCAGGTAACACCGAAATGATGTGGTCAGGACAACTTAAAACGACACCATCCTGTAAGTGAAGCACAAAAATAGGTCGAGGTAGCTGAGCTTTTCAGAAAGGAGAAGCCGGAGTGCACTCGTAGCGCTCAGGCCAAGGGAGCAGGGGGCTGCACCTGGGCTGCTCAACCCCCGTTTGGCTTTTACAGATCAAAAGGTGAAGCGCGCGAGTGGCTCTGGGCAGCTCCTGCCCCCCCCGCTGGGGATTTGTGCCCTCGCTCCGAGTT